AAAATAATTCTCCCCCCCCCCCCCAGCCCCATTTTGGGACAGCTGTCCTTTGTAAATCTCAGCTGTATTTTAAGGAGGGTACTTCAAGGATTGGAGCTGTTCTCTTTTTTCTTGGATCAAACCAAATTCCCTCCCATTGCCAAGGTACTGTATGACCCCTATGGTTTAGCATTTCCCATGAATATAATAATTATGTACCTACAGAAAGGAAATTCTATACTTACCATATAGCATTTTCTCCTGGCACCTGTTGCCTGTCACCTATGTCTGTATATGTTGTACATGTAAAATAAAGATTATTGTTATATTAGTAATAGTAATAGTAGTATTACAGCAGCAAGTAGGTATCTGGGTGTTAGGTGACTGAGGGAGAGGTCATTATGTACATTTTTCACCAGACAGAAACCTGTTAACATTTTTTACTATAAATAAATTATGTTATCTTTTGCATGGTTAAAAGTTATTTGTTATATAAATTGTATATTTAGGTGATAATAGTCAGTGGAGTCAATTATTGTTTAAAGAAATAGGAAAAAAGCTTCATTTTGATAAGTTAAGTAAGTAACCTAACCTAAACCAGTTGTAAAATTCTTGCCTATGTTAGCTTGCATTAACATTAAGTTATATTAAAAAAAAAAACTGAAAATGAAATATATATTTACTGGGAAGAGTATTAAAGAACCCAATGAAAATAAGACAGTTTGAACACCTCATGACTGTCAGGTTTATGATGGGTTACTAACACTCTGGGTTACTACATCGGTACTACACTCTGGGTTACTAACACTCTGGGTTACTAACACTCTGGGTTACTAACACTGGGTTACTAACCCTCTGGGTTACTAACACTCTGGGTTACTAACACTCTGGGTTACTAACACTGGGTTACTAACACTCTGGGTTACTAACACATCTGGGTTACTAACACTCTGGGTTACTAACACTCTGGGTTTACTAACCCTCTGGGTTAATAATCCTCTGGGTTAATAACCCTCTGGGTTACTAACCCTCTGGATTACTAACCCTCTGGGTTACTAACACTCTGGGTTACTAACCCATCTGGGTTACTAACCTTCTGGGTTACTAACCCTCTGGGTTACTAACCCTCTGGTTTACTAACACTCTGGGTTACTAACCCTCTGGGTTACTATCCCTCTGGGTTAATAATCCAAACAATATCTTATTTCATATAGTATACTGAGGTGTGAGGGGAGACATGGAGCTGGGCAGGTAATGTCACTTGTTCCATTATAACTTAGCCAAGTGGAATCATCTGTGTGCTAAAATTGAGTGGGTAAATATGTCAATTGCCCTGCCTTCTATATAGTTTTATGTACTAGTACTGTACCTGGTGAGACTAAGTTTGGCCATGTTTCTGAAATTAAAAATGAATTTGATTTCTATGATGGTGTTAGTTATGGCAATCAGAGCAAATTCCAAGCATAGAGTACTGCACCTGTCTGTTTCCTTGATAAATAGTTTGGTATCCACGAAGTTCATCAGATGATTTTTCATGTTATGGTGAATATTATATAGCATCGTGAGTGTTGTCTCTTTGGCAGGTATTTTGCGTTCACTTCACATTGATAAAACTTATTGCAACTTTTGCATGGTATAATGTGGATACTGACAGTATGCCCATGGTTACTGTTTTCTTTTATAGCTAAATTATTATTGTGTCAAAGATATACTGGTAATCCTAATGTTGGCTTTGGCAGATATGGAGAAGTTATTGCAGGACAGGTATAACTGCTTATCAGCTAGCATTGGAGACTTATCTTGCATTGAGTAATATTTTCTCTACCTTTGTCCTGCATTCAGTAATGAACTGTTTTAGATAGTGATGTTCAAGTAAGGCTTTATTGATGTCTCATTATTCTTCGAGGAATGTGGGCGAGGAACAAATCCTGTAGATCAGGATTTATTCAGGTAGATCATTTTTTTTTAGTGGGTTTGTATTATACCTTAAAATCTATCTTAACTTTATCTCTGCAGATTATGACACTCAGAAAAGCCCTCTTGTTATTTCTTCAGTGGTAATGTTCTGTTTACTTATCTGTATTTGAACTGATTAATAAGTTTATTTAGGTACAAGTACACATAAGTATAATTATTATAACTAGTGTCAATTACCTAGGATAACCCAAAAAAAAGTCAGAGTGACTGATTTATTTCCATTGGGGTCCTGATGAAATCCTTGGTGGATGAAACAAGTTCTTAATAAAATGCCATAATTAGCATATTGTGGGTTGTTCACATACTTGATATATCCTATCATTGATATGCAATACATAGAGTGACTCCTTTTTCTTTATTTTTTTCTTCTTTCCTTTGAGACTTATATTTCTTTGTGCCCACAGACTCTGACTTGAATATTATTGAATTATTTCATATTTTTCAGATCTGAAGAGAAGTAATATTCAAGTAATAATCGAGTCAAAATGGCTTCACTTAGGAATGCCATGAAAACCCAGCATGTGCACAAGGAGCGACACCAACCTATCGCCCGTCAGCATCTAGGTGCCTTTAGAGAAAAAAAAAGATTACAAGATAAGAGCTAAGTTAGTACTGTACTGTCATTTTTCTGTGTTATGTTATGTTTAGGTATCTACATAGATTTAGAAATCTCCAATTTTCAATATTGATTACATCAGTCACCTGGCTGGCCATATTTGATGAGATTAATCATATGTGCTTTTTATCAAAAAATTCTCTATTTTAATATTAATTTTAAACATTTGCCATGCCTAAATTTATTTTGGTAAACTAAGTCATCTGTGATTTGCTTTTTTATAGTTTGTATAATAAGATAATTCTAATTGTTATTGGATCTGAATGAAGCGGAGGATGTTTGTCAATTGTTGCAGTCGTGGTATTGTGATTTGTATTCTTTATCATTAATACTTGTGCATTAATTTGTCCCTGTATATTTCTAAAAGCTTTCTATCATGAACCATTTAGTAATTATATTTCTGTATATTTCAGTGTGTAAATAAGTTTTAGCCTGTGCTGTATATTTTTGGATACTGGTCCCCCATTCATCTTCCTGATA